ATTTCGCAAAAGTTCACTCTTTGACAGGCCACACTTTCTCAGACCGTGGCACAAAGTCGATCCTTGAAATCTAATCTGTCACAAAACACTTTCTTCATTCTCAATGAATAGGTCCAAATGTTGTTAGGTACTTCACAAATCTGTGCCGAATAATTGATGATAAACTGCTCCAAATATCTTCAAGAGAACAGTAAAATTGTTGTGGAAAAACACAGAATCGACAAAAACAGGTCAACATGAACACTTGAATCTTCTTTCAAAGTTCTTCATATCTTCTAAATCAATTGTCGAAAGAGTCCAAAAGGCTTTAACAGAAAATTCCAGTAAAATACTGCTTTAATCTCTCTCTTAGGATATGCTTTATCTACGCAAAGCGAATGTCTGCCTGGACTATCCTGTCAGCTTATCTTTATTTCCAAATCTCCTTTGATCGCCGAAATCTTCTCGATGCCAAAAACACAAGCGGCAGAGCAGTAAAAAAATTCATAACCTGCAAGAGAACTCGAAACTTCAAGACAGTATTTGAGATTCTTTCTGTGCGTAAATCACCCGTGGTTTCGCCGACAAAAACCGTGAAAAATCATACTCACAGTCAGCATTATTCAAAAACTTCACACTTCAAATGTCAGATGAAAACAATTTCCTCAAATACAATCAAGATCTTGATATAGCGGATCCATTTGTTTACGATATTACCAACACCAGAAAAGTCTATTTCCGCCGTATTGTTTCCCGTTGATGATCTGCCGACGTTTTCTCGTCAAAACATACAAACACGTGCACGCGAATGGCAACGTAAGTTCAAAAGTAATAACTGAACAATCGTACATAAGTATCACGTGATAATGACCAGCGTCACGTGATATGTCGGGCTTTGATCGCTCAGACAATCGAAGTTAGCGAATTTCCCAGATGTTCACTTCAAACAACACAGCACACGTGCACGAGAATTATCTCTCAACGAATAAAGAGATTGACCGAGGAACTCGTCCTGAAAAAATCATTTGCTCTTTTCAAGCCAAAACTCAGAACATCTATTTCGACAATAAAATATAGATTGTTTGGCGTGGGAATTTCTTATCATCAACAATCTTTTTACAGGCCTAAAGCCTGAGGCATTGACTGAATAAATCCTGAAATTTTTCAGATAAAAATCTTGAACCCTTTGTATAATTATTTCCGTGTTTATATCTGTGATATTTGTGTTATTAATTATTTCTGTGATATTTGCATACAGAGACTAGCGTCCAAACCCTTTGAACAATTTTGACGTGCCAGTATTCTGGTCCAAGCCCTTTGAGTTTTTCGATGGCGCAGCTTTTGAGCCCAACCCCTTTTTACTACTACGGCGTTCCAGTATTTGGGTCCAAGCTCTTAAAATTTTTCGATCGCACAGTATTTGAGCCCAAGCCCCCTGGATTCTTGTCCCGTTTGTCCCGTTTAAATCGACTTTAGCCAATCCGTACTGTTAAAAGAAACCATTGTAATGCGTTGAAGCCAATATAATGCCAATCGCGGCTGAAAGTAATCATACTGACGGGACCAACGATCGACTCAATCCGTTAGAACATAAATTGAATTATCCAGTGAGCCAGCTGTTTTGCACTAATAAGTAGAATTTCAAAGACGTATTTGAGTCAAATTGATTATCACAATAAATCGATTACAAAAACATAATTTTGAGCAATGGAAATCGGAAGCACCTTGCGGATTGAGGTCTTAGGCTAAATCATTAGAGCATGTGTGCAGAATTCTGTGCGAATCGTGACGTAATAAACGGTACGGTATAAACGTAAAGTAACGTGTCAAGGAATGTTTTAATGTGCTGGCTTTGAAATCTTTAAATCAGAAAACAGCATGACCTTTTATTGTGCACGATTCTCTTTGTAAAAATCTTTTCAGCATTTGACTCCCTCTCCAGATTTCACTTGAAGAAGATTTGTTTATTTTCGTTCTTCTCCTCTGCGTTAGGTTCCAATTTCCCAACATCAAGCAATTTCTTTTTTAATGATAAAAGTCTCTTCTGAGAACTTTTTGCAAACTAGTTCTTTTACTGTTTTCTCAGACTTCGATCTTCTCAGACTTGAGTCCCAGTAAACCAGGGCATTGTCTCCAGCTTCAACCTCGCACGTTTACTTACAGGACAAAATGTTCAACACTTTCTGCAAGCAAGTGAGCTCCTCTGTCTTTGCAGTTTAAAATTCGGAATATCTCTGCACGTTACCTCCAATTCAAATTGTCCTTGTTTTAGATTTTTACTCGGTAACAAAGTATTTCCCAACCTTCTCTGTCCTTGCTTGCTTGTCTTGAACAAACTCAAGCCTTCTCCAAGTCCAAAGAGAACTACATCATACTTTTTCAGCACTGCTTCCTCAGATGCTAACAAGACAATTAGCCTCATAAAACTCCGTTTCACACCAACCTGACACGATGCAAGCCTAATGTTTACAGAAACCTCAATCCGGCACGTGGGTGGACCATTGATTATATCATATTAAACCTTGAATAGTAATATACACAAGCAGGTCTCCTGCAAAATTAACTCAACGTGCGCATTTTCTGTTGTTGACAATTGAAAAGCTATTATATAGAAACAATGTGATTATAACAAGGAGGAAATTATCAATGTGTGAATGATTCTCCAATTCAGTCAGGCTACTGTATCAGTCAGGCTACTGTAAAGTATCTTAATAACAACAAAGACGAAAGGCCATATAAATGAATTGTTTTTGAACCAATTTGTTTAAGATTCGTCTAGGCCATTCAGAATATAGCGCATTCATTGCGTGTGGGATGATACGAGACAAATAGTGTTGCTTAGTCCGTTTTTTAATTGTTAACAAACAGAATTTGATACATGACATACAAATAACTTCGCCCGTCATACCACGTGGTCAACTGTCTCTCTACAAAACAAAGAGCCTTGATGCCTTATGTGTCAATCCTCCTTTACGAAAAGCAACAGCTAAGGGTCCTTTTCTAAAGCAGCAACAGAGAAGGGTTTATTTCTAAACCCCTTTCACCAACTTCCCCATATCTATTCAGTTAAAACGTAATTAACAGAAACCCCTAAATAGCGAAAACGTCCAAACCATTTCACATTCTTTCACTGGCTTGCCACACCACTAAACTTATTGCACGCAAAGGATAACAATTTGCTAATCTTTCTGTAAAACAGGTGCACCGAAATATACAAAGTTAGAAATTACGCTTGTATATCAAGATTTCACCCCAAAGTATATCCAGATTTTACCCCCTAAATATTAAAACTTCAACCCCTTTACATCCAACCCCCCCCCCCCCTTATGTGCAGTTTTCACCCTTTATATATCCAGGTTTCACCGCAAAATCTCAAGATTTCAACCCCTTCGCATCCAGATTTAATCTCTATACATCCATATTTCACCCCCTTTTATAATCCAATCTCGCCCCCCTTCCCCCAGATGTCCTACAACCATTGATTATTATCATTACCTTCAGATACCGGGTCAGTTCTCAAGCTTCGTCTGGGTCAATTGCCTTACTGCAATTAATTCGGCGCCGATAACGCGATAACATAGTCAAGCATAACAACAACAGACCATCTGTTTTTAAATTGCGGCTTAGTTTAATTAAAGCAAACTAAATTTTTAAATCAAAAACGAAAATCAATCGGTAGATATCGATAGTTTCCGATCAGTGGTTTGCGCGATCGTTAACGATTTACGCGCGAAGAGTAGAGTCGAAACTTTTACGGATTTTTGACTTTCGACGATGTGGAGATCAAAATAGGTTCAAGGAACTTTTGATTCAAGGAAAAAATGCACTGGGAGAAACCAGAAAAAACAACATTATTAAAAATTATTTCTGTACCGATAATTCGCCCCATCATACAAGTTTTGCATGAATATTCAAGTAACTGCGATTCAATTTACGCCGTTGTTTCGGCATGCGAAATTACGCTGAGAAATCGCATTTACGACATATAAAATGAAATTAGAGAAGAAAGCAAATGAGAAAAAGCAAAAGAAATTAAAAGGAAATATTTATCAAAACGACAGACAAATAAAAAATAAGATAAAACTTTGGCCGGCGAGGAACCAAGCTGAAAGCAATATTCTTTGCAAGCAATTTTATACTCGTGTAATTTATCACGTTAGAAAATAAAGAAATAAAAAATAATAGAGAAATGTGATATTTTTGTGTCTTGTGATGTTTCTGTGGAAGTTGTAAGCAAGATAAATTATTCCAATTGTTTACATCAAATACCGAAATTTTCACTGTTTTTCTTTGGCAAATTTTTCGCCTTTCACCACATTTCTGTCTTTGAATAACCAAACAATTTTAACAGAGAACCAGGTCTACCTTGAAATTGCAAAGCTTTGATGGACAAAATATCATATATTACTAAGTGTGAATTTAGCAAGCACGTTTTGGCAAGGAAATTTCGTGTAGCGGAACAATAAAAATCCACTTCCATCGATATGTTTTGAAAGGAAATTTCTATCAAGAAATGACGAACCTGGACAAAAAATAGTTCTGGTTCACTACCTTTTCTGTGGTAAGCTTTTGTTCAAGAAATTACAAACCCATGGATAAAAACTATTCTTTTTCATTATCTAATTTTACAGGAAGCTTTTGGTTGAGAAATGGCGAATCTAGACACTTGAATATTAAATTTCCATCGCTAGGGTATGAAAAAACATTTTGATCAAGAAATAACGAACCTAAGAAAAAAGGGGTTCTGTTTAATTACCTTCTTTGCAGGAAGCGTTTGGTTGAGAAATGGGGAATCTATTAAATACTGAATTTCCATCGATAGGAAGGATATAAAAGCATATTTCGATGAAGAAATAACGAACCAATATACAAAACTTTGCTTTTTCAACAAATTCGGTTTGACTGGCATATTTTGCTATATATTTTCGTATCAAAGAATAAATATATTTCATGAAGTGTTTATTATAAGCTGTGTGATTTGGAAAAGTAGTTGAAAACAAGAGAGGAAGGACATGACTCACCCTATTCGCAATGTCTAAAAAATCTGTCCCCTTTGGGTGCTCCCGCGAAGCAGACTGGTTTGGTGAAATCACTTGCAAGTTCTGAAGTTGCAGCAACGTAGAAGGGTCGAGACTGTCCGCTATATCATAACCACCGGACACTGGTATTTGAGGCTGTCCGGAGCCAGCAGCCATTCTTTTAGAGTATGAAGAGGCCGATTTTCGTGCTAGAATAACGAGAAAACAAGGATTATATGAGATAAATGCAGATATTTTTAAAATCCCTCGCAATATGCTAGCAGTTAAGGAGAGAATTTGATGGTACCCGCTGAAAATAAACGCGAAAAGGCGAAGGATTAATGGAGATTAGGTGAACGGGGGTTTATGTGTTGAAAGAGACTGAGAATGGGGAAGAGACGAGATCTGAAGACACACAACCTTGCTTTAGAGAAGAAACAAGCTGCATTTTGATATTTAGAAGGATAAAGGCAGGGATGGCATGAATGGTTGAGATTTGAAAGGGGAAAGTTAGAAGAAGAATTGAGGGAGAAAAATTTCAAGACAGATAACAAGTAAAAAGGTGTTCTTGGATTGTTTATTGCTTTAACAAAAATGAGATGAAAAATTGCAAGATTGCTAGAAAAATTCAGAAAAAAAAGGGGGAGATAAATTTCGAGTCAGTGGAAAGGAAAATGAAAAAAAATATACTGGAAGAGCGATCTTGAATTTTTGTTAGAAGCAATAATTGAAATCTGTCTATAATACTTTAGGTTTAAAAATTAGGAAGCCGAATGTGGAGAATTGGGGAACGAAAAAGTGCCAAGAGAATAGGTGACTGTTTTTTAATCGAGAGCAAGAAAGCTTCCAAAATATTTTCAAGAAAATGTGAAGCCCTAGATATGGATTCGTGTTTTCTTTCGAATCTACAATTCTATTCGTAGAATCTCGCATTGTTCGTTCGAATTCCAAAATTCTTTTTTAGAAGAGAAGATTCTAAAATAGAACGCTACTTTCTAAAATGGTGTTGATTAGGTGTTGATTGGAAGAAAAGAGGAGATGGGGTAAAATGGAGATATTTAGGGGTGAGGAGGGAAAAAAGAGAATGGAGACGATGGGTGTAACGTAATTTAGAACCGTGATTCGAGTAAAGAAGTTTTTTCATTGTTTCTAAATGCCCAGTAGTGTCATTCTGTAGCAAAACTCTTATTAAAAGACTGGTGTCGTGCACAAATCGAATTTCGCATAAGTCGAACTCAAATCATAAATTAAATCTGGGTTTTACCCCTCGTACTGAAACTTATTTCCTAAATATCTTCTCCGTTTTCTGATCATCGACTGCTTCCCCCTGACACTGGCTTACAAACAGAAACAAAAGTTTTTATCCTCTTAAGTCTATTAACAATTAAACTTGATAAAACTTTGATAATTTACAAATCTGCTCGCATGGGGATATTTTAGAATTTCAAAACCGCCATTCATCAAAATTCAGCCACCTTGCTTTCAAGGAGGCGAGGGGGAAAGAAGTTGGACTCTCTTTTGGGGGAGGGGGCAACAAAATTATGTATTTACGGGGATGTACTAAATAAGCATGTTAAGGCATGTATGAATATAAATCAATTTATAGACTTTGTTATTATTTCAAAATTTCCTATTACCTTGGGGAGTTTCAACCATCCCTCTAATAAAAAACCAAAGTGTGCTGAAACAATACACTAGATGTGCCTGGTTTTAAGGATAACAAAAACCTCTGAATTCTTAACAAGAATTAATCATTAAACATTATGGGTGATGTGAAAGAGATAAAATTCGATTCGTGCAAGGAAGATATTATCAAACATTTTCCCAAAAGAGCGATAAATGGGAACTGAGTGCCTAAGAGAACTGGGGACTTGGAGTAAATAAGAAACCAGGGTCTTTTTAACATACTAACTAGGGGGGGGGGCAATTGGCCCTACAGCCCAATTGCCTTCTATTGATTTAAGCAATAGGCAATTGTCCCTTTTTTATATAAACAAAGGTTTGCCCCCGCAGCTTATTTCCCTTGAAAAAGCTATCTTACTGTAGATACAACTTTTTTCTCTCTCTCTCTCTTTGTTGAGTAGGGTCTAATTCAATTTTAGACATTTGTTGTCAAAAAAACAATTTCAATGCTGGAATAAATGTCAGCTGCTGAAATGAGCTAAAGATTTTAAATTCTGGCGACGTTTGAGATAAAGGTTATCTTGAAAATACGGAATTGTATGAGCGAGATCTAAGTTTAGTGATGCTTGGCTAGGCCAGGATGATCCTTGAAAAGATGATTTGCTCAAAAACAATACTTTAAAAAACACTTAATATAAAGAGAGGAAAAACAGGTGGTTTTTTAATGTAGTTTACACAGATTTTAATATCGCAGGATCGACAATCGAATGGCTAAGGTAAATCTTTAAACTTACAAGACAGGTTTTGACGCGGGGAAAATGGTAATCCGCTTTAAGAGCTCTTTTATCAGTGAATGAAGAAACAAGATTGAATTTAAGACTTGAGGGTTATCGTTACATAAAGATTCATCAACACTTATCTGCGAGATTTGAGGACATCGTACTTTGTAATGAATTGGTTTCATAAAACTTTCTTCAATTTTCATTGATTGATATTCGCTTTAAGAAAGCATCGGTGCCTGATTCGATTATTTAGGCCCATTCTCGCAGGTCTTACGCGTGAAACTGCGCTTTGCCTGCGGGTCTGGCGCTCCCTGTCATAGTCACTAGAGGAAGGGGTGGGGAGGTCCAGACGAGAGAGGCAGTAAAACTAAATGGTAATTGTGGAACACGAAGTATTAAAAAACAGCTCTGGCCTAAAACCTTAAAAACTGACTTTCGTTTGTTATGTTTCATTTGACGCGCGGTACGTCCAAATTTGCGCGTGAATATCTTCAGATTCTTTTGGCAATATGGAAAAATTATTGCTCGCTATAGATCATAGCTTCAGCTGAGATATCGTATTTGATTATACGTGCGTGAAAGCTCGATACATCAAAGGACCCTGGTCTGTTGGATAAAAAGTTTACAGCAGCGAAGAACTCTTGAGAAAAAGAAAATTCTTGAATAATTGCTGTGACAATGCCAAACCCGAAACCTTAAAAGAGCTGTTCGTGGTTCTGTGGTGTAAAAAACCAATAAAAATGCTGGATGGAAATTGACACAGCAAGATAAAATTAAAGAAAATCACGTTAACATTACATCTAACAGAACCCTAGTTTTATAGCAGGACAGACAGGGATAACATCATCAACGGAAAAAGATTTTATCGCCTTAAAAAATTACTGTCGAAGATCGAATCTTGTTTTAAATAAAAATGAAAGAATTTTCTAGACAGTTTATCGAAAGATTTTCAAAGACATAGCATGTTGACTTGATTAAAGCTCATTAAATAATTAAATTACAAGCATCTATGTCCGAATGTTAAAATCCACTTTTGACAATCAAAATTAGTCCCGTAACTTTTAGCCAGGATTTTAAACATAATAGTTGGAAAAGACTCTTTCAGCGGTAATGAAAAATCTTTTCTGAGGATCGATTCTCATTTTGATTTTATAAAAAACTTATTTTTCACAGGCTTTCTTTATTTTTAAAAATTTATGAAAAATTCTGCACGTTGCAAAGTTCGTGTTTTCTCATGGACTCTTCAACTAGGTGTGTGGTTATCGGTCGCTGATTGGTCAAAAACAAAAGAACCAATCAAACGCGTCTTTCTTCCTATCAAGTGATTTTCGATCCACACCTGGATGTAAATTTTCTCCTTACTTTCGTGTGTCGGAAATGTTTCAGCCTTTCCATAATGTTTTCAAATTCCCCTTCAGTTCGATTCATATAAACTTTAACAGACAAGTACAGTAAAAAACGTACCTAATTTTTCAGCTTTCGATTCCGGCGGGTTCTTCCTTTGTTTACTTCCGCTAATCCGGTTTAGATTACTCTCGGTATCAGTGGAAAATTCCGGAGCTGAATTCGAATCCGAACTTGAAGTCTGTCCGGTGTTCATCTCGTGTACCAAAAGTGACTTGTTGCGACAAAATGACTCGTAACTTATTTTCCCTGTTTCGCCGTCACCAAGCTGCTCAATTACTTCTGAAATGTTTTCTTCTATACCTAGTTCTTTGCAAACTTCTTCCAAATCACCTCTAAAAAAAAGACACAGAACGTGAATCAAAATGAGTACGAAATCCCTGGTGAAACTATAATTTATCTAAAAATATATTTATATGCACTTTCGATGCATAGAACAGGACGGTTCTCAGGGCCGGCGAGACGTATTTGAAAGTGCAGGGGCCAAAAAATCAAAGTCTGGAAAAGGCGGATGATATAGCTGCCATCTTTCTTGACTTACATATTGTTCTGGAGCGTCACCAAGCGTCAAAATTAACGCGCGTGACGCATGGCCGAAAAAACGCGATGCGTGCGCAAAGCAGCAATTAATGCAAACCATATTTGGTCAGCGTCATTACGCGCCACGCCGTGACGCATCCAATGTGAATTCAGCTTAAGGAATGTCCGCCGCCATGGTTGGCGGCAAGAAATATTTTAGAATTGTAGTATCTTAAGGATGGCTAGAGACTGTATCTTAAATGGATTTCGACAGAAGGAAAAACCGAGGAAATATATTAAAGCTTTGTTTAATCAATATGTACCTTAGTCTCGTCTTAACTTGAAAAAGGAAAGGTCTTGCAAAGTTTTTAGAATAACCTGTATGATATAGCTCGTAATGAAACTGTTTTTAGATTTAAAAGTAACCAAAACAAGATGGAGGAGAAAAAAAAATGAAACACGGTCTAATAAAAAACATCAACATTGAAATGTCAACAAAAGAACTTTCAACTAGAAATAAGAGATTAAGCAATTTCGTACAATTAGGATTAAATTTTGTAGCATCTGATCTAAAAACTTCCGGAAATGAGGTGCTTTGTGTGTTCTGATAAATTTTTCGTTAACAAATAGACCTTGTGAGGCAGGCTTAGGCCATAAAAAATTGAAACTCCGTCAATTTTTGCTGGCACCAGTTTTTTTCTGGATCAGGTTTCTCGATCTATTTCCTAAGCCAAGCTGTTACTCGTTGTACAACTTGAAAAATGACCGATTTCTTCCGCTAATTCCATTCCCAGTTGTATATATGTCTTCTACGGTAAGACAAAGCAACCAAGCTAAAGCTTAAGGCATATTTAAGGGATTACTAGGCACAGTTACTTACAGATTCATATACTACATCTCTTTGCACAATTGCCTAAAAAAATTTATTTGCTCTGCAAAACCGGGTGGGGCCATGCAACTGCTATCATTCTTATCAAATATATTTTAATATACATTTAAATGTATTTAACAAAATTACTGTTTATTGGTCTGCCATAAAGAGCTTGTTGCCGAAAGGGAAAGCTGAATACGTTTCGTGACGTCATAAGCGTGAAACTCGGAGTAGCAACTTAGAACTGTCCTATTCTATACACAAATAGAACAAAGATAAATATATCATTAATATAGGTACGAAACTAAGAGTATTTTTACAAAAAAAACATACCCTAAATCAAATTGAAATTAACAGCGTTTCTCCGTCACTCGTAACACAAGTAGTAACTCAAGTATGAGAAACAAGATCCTTTGGAAAAGATTATGAAGAGAACGGGCAAAATATCTCATTTCTCCACCCACGTGCTTCAGAAGTTAAAGAATGGTTTACCAAATCGATGAGAAGATTGAAAAAGCTTAACCCAATTGATGTTTACAGTCTTATGACTGGAGAAGGCTGGGTAGTTAAAAACATTTTTACTACTCTTTTTTCCAATGTAAATAAACAATTTCCAAAGCGATGTGTAGGTTGGTAAATTGGATTCCAAAATTATGACGTCATAAAATATATTGGACTACAGAAAGAGCTGAAAAGATCGGGGCACGACTCGAGCCCACGACAGGCGACACATTACGTCACGTTTTCGAGTTCAGCTGTCTCATTTGTTTAAATTTTAGTAAAATAAGGAATTGATACTTAACTCAGTAGAAATATTTTTTCATAATATATTAATTTTGCACGCATTAACCGAAAAAGTATCATGAAATACCTCTTAACCTGCAAGCTTGTCTGAGCTATGACCAGATGAATACAGGCTCATTTCCTCTCAAATTATGATTGTAATTAAAATTTCAATTTGATATTAGTTATAATCTACTGAAAAAACTCAGTTTCTTCAATTCCTGCTTTTCAGTGAATTTGCCTTGGATTTAACTGGTCTTGCGTATTTAGAAGCAAATTGGGAAGCTTTTATTAAAGCAAATAGTCAAACAATTTTAGCTTTCAACTGGAGTTTTTTGTTACTGATAAAACTGAAGTGAACAGCTATGGGATTGGCGTTACTTATGTCATTTTTTGGAGACAGAATAAACATACCCAGAAGGACGAAGCTGGGGGTGTGTCACTCTTCCAAAATAACGTACGAGATTTTTTTTAAACAAGAGGATTTCTAAAGATTTTAGGTGGATTTTCTCCAAAACAAAAGAAGTTTTGCCAAAAGTATACGAGATTTTCATGGAGTGACAAACCCCTCGCACGAAGTAGTCTGACGAAACTTCACTCGCAGAAATCACTCTGCAGGGCAAAATTAGTTGATTGGTAAGTTGTACAATTGAAATAAATTAGATTACGATAAGATTCCGTCAAAAAATCTCAATAATTCGGAAACGGCCGCCCTCGTATAGCCACACCCCATTTAAAGGCATTCTTTCTATGGCCACAGTGCCATGCCTACGATCCAGAAATACAATTGTCATGACGTGAGGAGGTGGAAATCCTGGAAATCATGAGATAATTAGGGTGGATAAAGAAACAGATTCCAACATTAATGAAATCAAAGTCTCACTTGACTTTTTTATTAGATATTCCTAGCAAAGAAGGTGAATTGTCCGGAACATCATGTTGATAACACACCCATAATGCAGTTCGCATTGAAACGCTCGAATTGGATGAAATTCAGGCCCCTCCTCCTTCCATCTTTGCCTCAATGCTTTCCTTGATTCACACGACCTCCTCACCTCCCCCTGCCCCTCATTTTCCTATCCACTAAACGAAGGAAGAGATAGGGGCGGGAAGTCGTTGTCTTAATACACGGATGCAGGAACGTGTTGAAAGTTGGGAGCTGACGGTACTCTATTTTCTTTATAACTGTGCACTGAATGGAAAGCAATACAATGGGTAGCCCTCCTCCCCTTAGCAGGAATTCCGTTTAGACACTTGGGAATCATCTTATATTACACGAAAAAGGTACCAAAAACTTGCTATTGGAATTAATTGTCTTTTTTCCTCTTATTTCTGAGCAGACCCTCTTATCAACCAAACCTGCAAATCTTCAGTATACAATCGTGTAATCGAGCACGTGTCTGTCATCTTTGACAGTCCACATCTGCACCTAAGCTTGGACTAAGCCGAAGGATTTTGCCAGAATTATTCAACCATTCTCCAAAAGAAGCATCTTACAAAGGGTATTTGAAGCGATCCTGTCCAAATAGTAAAAGATTTTTGTAACATTTACAAATTAAGACTGGATTTGTTAGGCCGAAACTTAATAAAGAACTGCAGAAGTTTCATTCAAACTAAAAGGTTAAGAAGGAAAAAGACATAAAAGGTTTGTATGTGGAAAGATTAATTGATAATCGAGAAGAAATGGAGAGAAAAAGGGATTGAAGCAAAGGATTTCAAAGGTTTCTGGAAGATCCTCCGATTTTCAATGTATAGCAAAAGTCACAAAACGCGTTTCTGTCCGTAACTTTCGGGCCACACGGAGGGGGGGGGGGGATTCTGAAACATGGCTCAAATGATAGTAGTTCCAAAACTAAAGGAAGTACCAAGGGCGAGATACGTCGTTGATGTGACGTCACCGTTAGGCTAGGGGGGTAGAAAAATGGTAAGGGTTCTTGCGCTTGCGTTTACGCTTGTGTCGCTAATGAGCACAAAGCTCAACGTAGCCGTGGGAGGGTTGTGAGGTGAGTTAAAGGGCTGAAGGGGGTTAAAACCATAAGAGGGATAAATCATAGCCTTTTGAAGGGAAATTACATGCGGGGGCAAGCCTTTAATTGCATAAAGGGAAATATTGTTTTAAACCATAAATGATCACAGAGGCTGGGGGGGCATTGCCCCCAAAGTTAAAATGTTAAAGATGGTCCTGGGAAAAGTAAAAGTGGTGACGCAAAAGAAGGGGAAGGGGGCAACAGTGGAGAGGGGAAATCCCATGGTACTTATTTCTTGTTGGAAAAATGTTTCTGAGGAACAAGGCTTCAAAGTCCTGTCTCGGCCTGCCTCTTAAATGCCTCTGTAAAGGAAATACCAAGACATTCAACTACTACAGAAGAATTGAAGAATAATGAGAAAAGGAAATTCCCTATTAATCTATGCCGACAAATCTAGGCCACCGGGTTAAATTTCTCTTGTGACGTCACGTCTTCACAGATGTGCTTGTGGGAACCTATCACCCTTTGAGAATACACCGCAAACTCTTTTTGATAAGCCGAAGGTTGAATTGATCTTTGTTTCAACATTACCACAAAGTTTGTGCCCTCCGTTATTCGCAGATAAAACGCGGGATCTCTGAGGGACATTAATCATTTCGGGACCCAAAGCCTTCTATTTTTTTGCCATTCAGAAAAATCAGATTAGCTTGAATTTTATATTGATAAACTTATAATTTAGAACGAATAACATCAAATCAAAATCTAAAATACAAACTCAGTAGAAATTTGGCCAAAAGGTGGGGGTTGATAATAGCGGGGGGGGGGAGAAAGGACAATTTGTATAACGGTGTTACTAAACTCTCCATTAATACAATGCTAAAAAATTTCCCCAAATGTAACAATCAAAAGAAAAATAGTAAGGAAACATTTTGTGAAATAAATACAAATATTGATAAAACATAAGACAATTTATGATTACACTAAAGTTGTTATTAAAATTATTAAACTAAAATTCTAATATAAAGAATCCTTATTGCAATTTTTCGCAAAAATATGCAAGAAATGAAATAAAACATTTCTAAACTACCAAAAATAATGTGTTTTGCTAATTCATTCAGGAAAAAAATTTACGTGAAAGATCAATAAGACCAAGGAGCTATTTTCATACAACCTTAATTTTCAGCTAGGATTTATTTACCCTTTGACCAAATTTAGTATTTAAATGTGAGCCTGATTATATCTGGTTACAAAATTAACAATTATATAAATAACAATTAAATGTTTAAGGCAAATTAAAGATCAATGAAAGATTTATAAAAAGTTTCTTTTTTCTTGAGTTTTGGTTCAAAGGCCTTGATGTGCTTATAGATAAAGGGGTAAAGAGCTAGCCTACCCCCCCCCCCCAAAACCCCATTCCAAGGGCTCCGACGCAGGTTGGAAAGTGGGGTGGGCCCAGGGAAAATTTAATTCCCATAACAAAAGATCTTGAAAAAAACTCAACTGTTTTGCAAAAAAGTGGGGGGCCATGCCCACCAGCCCCTCCCCTTCGTCTGAGGCCCTGTCTTCAAAGTAAAGATGAACTACTGTTTAAAATGAGACTTTGAAATAGGACGAGTGTTGGAATTTTACCAAAGTTATTCGATTCGTGTCTGTCCTATGTAACATACGTGTCAATTTGACGATTACAAGTTTGGTATTACATTACTGACAGTTGAAAATTTCATGAGACTCTTACCAATTCTTCGCCATTAATCGAATCTTTTCGAAGCATCGTTTGTAGATGTTGGTGTAAGGGAGCGAACATTTCCTTCTATGTGCAAAACAAGTTTATGTAATCAAACACGAATAATACAGAAACTTCTGAAATCCAAACCAGGATGTCACAGGTTTATCAGTCTTAAGCGATCGCACGCTCAAAGTTTCTATTCGTCGTTTGCATTACCAATGGAATTTTCAGAAATTTTTTCAAAGCGACTAATAAAATGGTCACTAAGCGAAACAAAAGATGACAAGAGATCTCGGAACAAAAGACCGGAATCAGCATATCTCTTACCTCCTTGATCGTATCTGAGTTTCCATTCAACTATTCAGAAAGTTTGCCGTGGAGTTATCAGACATCAAACAAATGAGTATAATAAAGATTTTCCGCCATGATTGGAGCGTGGTGAATTTCTTCTGATTCACATGGAATGAATTAAGGAAGAAGGCTTATCAGAAGGGGGTAGGGGCTGGGGACTGGAGTTGAAAAGAAATTGGGGAGGGAGGCGAAAGAGCTATCAGAAACCAAACAAATATGTACAATACAGATTTTCCGCCATGATTGGAGCGTGGTGAGTTTCTTCTGATTCACGTGGAATGAATTAAAGAGGAAGAAGGTTAATTTGAAAAGGGGCGGGGGGCTGGAGCCCTAGGGTTGCAAAGGAATGGGGAAGGAGGCGAAAGAGCTACCAGGAACCAAATAACTAAACATAATAAAGATTCTCCGCCATAATTGGAGTAGTGGTTTCACTATCCTCTCCTCCAGAACCATAGCAAAAATACTGCTGAAAATGCAATAAATGACCATTATTTTACAAGGGGGTGAGCCCCAAACACCCCTTAGCGCTGCGCCGTTCACAAATGGGGTAGATGAGGTCAAAACAGTGCTGCTAGTGGTACCCTGATAAAATGCGAATGGAAACTTGAAAGGGTGACAGTGGCTGATGAACGAAAGGGTGATCTGTAGATGTGATTTTGAAAGAGAGGGTGATCTGTGGATGTGATTTCGAAAGAGAGGGTGATCTGTAGATGTGATTTTGAAAGAGAGGGTGATCTGTGGATGTGATTTCGAAAGAGAGGGTGGTCTGTGGATGTGATTTCGAAAGAGAGGGTGGTCTGTGGATGTGATTTCGAAAGAGAGGGTGGTCTGTAGGTGTGATTTCGAACGAGAGGGGTGTGTGATAATGGAGGGTTTCAGAGGCTTGTGGGATGGGAGCGTGAAAACTTATGACTGTTGTTCCTGGGTTAGGAGGGGGAACTACTCGTTGAAAATAGAGGGGCAATTTGGCAAAAAGTTAGAACTAACCGCGCAATCTGTCCATAGTTACATCCAAAGCATTTGATTAGTGCTTTGACAGACTTTAGAGAGAATTATGGGTTTGACAGGAAAATTGTAAAGAGTACGAGATTCGGCTGTGATTTCTGAAATTGGAAAGACTTTGTACCAATGATTTAGAAACATTGAGTCACTATCGTCGAGAATTGCTTCCACTTGAGGTCGCACCCCTCAAAGGGTGTCTCTCATTTGCATCCCCTGGTAGGATAACATATTTTGAAAGGGGACATCTAGAAACAAATGCTAGTCAGAAGACAAAACAGAAGAAAATATCGATTCAATCTCCCATCAATCTCCAATCCTCTAAAAGTGTAGGAGAATGTCAATTCAAACAAAATTATTTAAAGATAGCACAGACACAGGAAAAACATAGCATACATTATGTTTGACAATCAAAACGGGAGCAGAAGTTTGTATTCAATGGCGGCGCCAGCCACTAAGCTCTGGGGGGGGGGGGCGGTTGACAAACCAAAAAAATTTATGCCACGCTCTTTTAGCCACCAGAAAATGTCCTTTTACCAACAGGGAGACGTGTCCCTCCCCCCTCCAGTCCCCCTTGGCGCCGCTACTGTTTGTGTCCAGGTAAGATTAAATATGATTTCGACCAAAGGCGCAGGAGATTTTCATAGATTGTTTTGAGCCCGAGGAATCCCCTGGCATTACATTCTAGCCTGTATTCTCACACTAGACTAAGGATGTCTCTACTGTTGGTAAGAGTTAATGCAACTGAAAATCCTTTCCTGGCTCGTTATCATTAAACAGATCGTTCGTCTAATGGGCCTAGCCTCGTCAATGGAAAATCCTTCTTATACTGCTTCAGAACTTCCATAAAGAGCGGATTTCGCGATAAGAGGATCTTCCATTGACAAACGGATTCTTTAATTCATGAGGAATCAGAAATGAAAATAGATAAATCTTGTTCTTTATTGTAACAATAAAAAGATTACTTCCAGGGCCTAAAGCGATTTGACTGGCCACATGTGGAATGGATTGTCACGTGGTTAACCATGGCATTGACTGGATAGAATGAGTCGACAATGAGTGAAGTAACTTTACAAAGTTCAACAACTTAGGCCCTTTGTCAAAAGAGAGTCCTAAACTTTTAAGCGTTCCCTTGAGTTGACATAATTTTTGACCATGCGAAAAACTCATGTACACATTATCGTTCAACTTGCAGTTACTTTCCGCAGCTGCTTTGAACTGCAGGCAATTCACAGTTTGTGGCTCTGGAGTAAAACTCCACAAAATGCAATTACGGCGTCAAAACCATCTTTTGTCACGCCCAGAGGAATAGCCTCTGGCGTAAAGAGTTTTTGAGTTTCAAAGATGGTGTATAATTTAAAGAAGAACTGTTTCAAAGGTGGCAAAATTAAAAAGATGTAGCGAAAGCAGGGACGAGGCCAAAAAATGTTTTGCAGGGTTACAGAAATGACCTTTGCAGACAAAAAGGGCGTGTCTCACTCTTTAAGGGTGTGGTTAAAAGACAAATACTCTTATATGCTGTTTTTATGCGTTTCGCTTTTAATATTCATTCTTTATTGCCATACTTTGAAAGCTTAACTGCTACAAAAAATGATGATATGTTTTAACTATCGCAAAAATGTTAAATCATATCACAGTGTGAGAAAGAAAATTATTCCTTTGGGCGGCAAAATCCTTTATGTGTCAGTGAACAGGAGTTTGGGGTATAGCGCCCTCCGCACCCCCTACCCTCTTTAGGGACGCCTCTGAGTGACAGCTCAAAGTCTGTGTCCAGAGATGATAATGGTAAATGACAGTGCATAAGTTATTTTCTCAGGTTTTATTGTCAGGTAGACGAAGAAACCTTTACAAAGCAATCACTCCAAACTTACGACTAATGAGCATGCGCAATAATGGTTTGGCATACACATCCGCTGGGAGCCAGAACGTGGGTTCATTAGGCTTCATTGGGACATTTTAACAGCCAAATGAAAATGATACCCCCGTCTATATAGTAAACGAGTAAGATCTTCGAAGAAGACCGTTTAAAAACATGCACAATAACACGGGGGAGCCGTTTACGCGCTAGAGGAGTTTTGTACTTTATTATACTATCAAAGGATCATGGGTAATACCAGGCTATTGAGAAATTCTTATTGGAGGAGACTCGGCGAAGTTCGATTTGAGTTCTTTGAGCCTCATCATAGAGTCGAGGTCGCTGTCAAGGATGCACAGTTTATAACATTCTCACTAGCATTGTCTCCCTATTGCCATCGCTGTGTGTGTCGCGGTTAAGGAAACACAAACCCTCCAAAAACAGCATGGCGGCCTAACATGGTGGACAACAGAAATGAAGCTGGTCTTTTGATTCTCGAAGCAGTCAGAGAAATTCCTGCATCCGTCGAATCTCGAGTGTTTGTGAAAGCCGTATTAACATTCACAGCGAAGTTTATTCTGTTTCATTATATTCTGCTCCGACGGCCTACTGAAATATTTATAAAGAAAGCAATGTTATTGCGAACAGGCAGCGCAGTGTTGATGAAAAAGCGTTCTTTCCTCAGACGGGCAGCTTTCTTTAGCAGAGAAACACAAACCCACTTTGCAAAATTGAGTATAGCGGCATCTTCGACTTCATCAAAGAAATGAAAATCAAGCAATTTTGTGTCTAGAAAACTGGTTATTTTACGCAATTTGGCAGGGTTTTACGACTCGACTCGACATCAATAACGGTGACCTTCTAAGTCCTTCTACTGACACACATACGTAAACTTCGAAACGTTATTCAAAGTTTCATAGTCTTCACATAATTTTAAGATTGCAGAATTTCCTTTTACTGACACACGTCCAAAAAATTCAAAGGTTCTTCGAAGGTTCATGTGCTTCATACAATTCTAATATGCGGAATTCACCAATAAAATAAACTAAGCAGTCTTAAGAACAAGATTTCCATAAATTACCAATAAAAGTATTGAGCAACAGATCTCGCCATTCTCAAGCCTATTTCGAGCAAATCAAAGAGTCTAGACAAGTTCAAGATTAAAATTTCGAGCACATGATTGTGCAACATTCGTAGAAATTTATAAATATCTAACAAAAAAGTTTTTTTTTGAGCGTTAAGGTCAACAAAAAATCTCTAGCAGACAACTGCAGATAAATACTCAATTACTGGTTCATAATTATCTAGGGTAGCGTTTTTAAACCACTGTACCATGAGATATTTTTTGGTGTGCCGTGGAAAACTCTCCAAGTTCAACTATATGTTCTAAAAACGAAGCCCGGGTTTCGCACTGAATGGAAAAATATCTTATTTTACTATAAAAAACTTTTCTTAGTGAAAATTTAATTCCTATTAAAGACAGTTTAATGATCACGACTTTGTGTTGTGAACATAGGCCACGGAGTTCATATTATAACATTTCTGTTGGTGACGTAGACTCTCCCAAGGTCTTTTTTTTGTTAACTCCATGAGGCATTGTATTTCGCGAGGGCATATCTTAACTGCGGAGGAGGCTCCTCTGCAGTTTAGATATGCCCTCGCAGTAGTACGAATGCCTTACGGAGTTAACAAAAATAGACTTCGGGAAAGTTTATTTATGATGTGCCTCGTTATTTTTTCAATGAGAAATGCGCCGTGGATCTAACAAGGTTGACAAACACTGCTTGAGGCGCCTGCATCGCTTCGATAAATAGAGACAGCCAATTTCGAGAGTAAAGATATTTAAGTGAATAAACGTGCCGCAGAAAAAACCAAGGATATTTAAAAACCAATTTACACAAAGTAACTGCAGACAAATGACATCATTTCTTATAATTTACAAGCAATCGAGTTATAGGGTCGCCGAGCGTCGCATTTTCAAAAGAAACGATTAATTCAATCTTAATTAAAAGAACTTGAATTTTTCAAGCAAAGTTTCTAAATATTTTCATCGTCATTGTAGTTGAAATTATTGCCACGGGTTTCTGTCGTTTCATAAAAGAAATGAAACCGTCGATAGTTGACTGCAGTGTGAGTGCCGATATAGGCCTAATTTAGGAGATTTCAAAACAAACTTTGTAATAAATATTCAACTATAAAGATGAAAATAAATAAAACCTATATCAAGTAATTAATCTTAAAGACTCATTGCTAACAATGGGCC